GAAGAGGGGGGACGTTGAAAAAGGGACGAAAACGAGACATCCGACCGAATTTAATAATTTTCCCATCCACGTCTCTGGCTATCCGTTTTTACCTCCGCCAAACCCCCTCCTCCTCCCCATCCACCCACACTGGACAAGCTTTCACCCGCCAAAACGAGCATCATACGTGCAAATTGCAATACGCCCCGGTGCTCTTTATTAAGTTCCTCTCAGTCGAGCTGATACGAGGATATACACAAGGCCCCCCCCCCTCCCCTCTCCCCCCCAATACCTAGCCCCAATGGCAACCGTACGTGTCCATACGGATTTCGCGACGAAAACAACGCGTGCTCTCAACGTTACTCTCGAAACCCTTTAACTAACTTGGCTACCTATCGTGGTGTGCGTGCACAACGGGCAAAAGGGGGTGAAACCTGGGCTAGGTTGAACGTTTTAAGGGTTTATATATATACATATATATATATATATATATATGTATAGGTATCCTCGAGAGAAATACTTTGCGCAGGATGTATCAAGCGCGGCAATCTCATTACTTGCCCTTATGCGTATTATAATTAAGCGGAGAGGGTCGATTCGTTAAAATTATTCGCCGTTTTATTATACGGGCCGGTGAAAAGTGGCCGGCTTCGAGTGGAACAGGTAAACGAGGCGAATTTACTCTCGCAAGCGCGGCGGGTGTGTCGTCAATTATGCAACGAACCGCTAACGGATGAAGATTTTCGTGCCTTTGTGAAAGGCGCGGTTATTACGGAGAGGGGCGAATAACGAGTCCGGTACATGTCGATGGCGGTTTATTCGATACCACGTTTCCTTGCGTTTCCTCACGTTAATTCCCATTTCTGGGAACTTAACTTCGTTTTTTTTTTTTAACTTTTTAACTTCGTTTCTTTCCACTTTCTTCTTTTTCTTTAAGTTTTCAAAATTTGAAAAGGGCGAGGAGAGAGAATATGAAATTTTTCGAAATTGATACGGGCCAACTCGATTTCTAATCGTATATAATTTTAATACTCGAAGAGAGTATTTCCCTCTCCAATTAATACAAGCCTATTCCATTATTCAATTCGTAAGAAGCGCAATTGAGCTAATGAGCGCGGGGAAATCGGATTTTGGCGGCTATCATTTGTTCAATTATGCATCCGGCCTTATCTTTCTCTTATCCGATAAAATAGTGGGAGTGGACAATTTCGTCTTTGGGGGAGGGAGGAGAAGGTCGTGGAGATCTGTGTGTATACGCACACGTCTACTACCTGGTAAAGTCCTTAATTAAAGCTTTCCCCGGTGGGCGAAATCGCTCAAGAGTCGGATTAGTCCCGCGAAATCCCCATTAAACTTAAAATGAATTTCCACTCGTGGCTCGTGGATACGCGGAGGCCAACTATACACCACGGCTGTATACGTGCACGCGCACCAGGACACCCTGTATACCTGTATAAACCAGCTTATCCAACGTCTATACGTATATATATGTATATATATATACATATATATATACATATACATACATATACAACCCTTTCGTCGTATTCCACTCTACGAGGCCGTGTTTGTACTCGTCTATACCTTCTAACCGAAAGCCCTAAATAAAACCGTGGATATCTGTATGCGGTGAACGTTGCTACTGTCGTTCGCGCTGATTGCCGTGTCCCGTCCAACAGTCCAAGGGGTCCAAGGGGAGGGAGGGGGATGGGAG